GGGTAAAAAAGTGCGTCTTATACACCGAAAAATACGGTATTTAAGATTTCATACACAATAAGATAAAATTAATATTTATGTGTGTATGTGTATCACTGTCATTTTCAGAGGACACCACAACACCAGAGCCTGATCCTGACTATACAGAGTACATGACAGGAAAAAAAATTCCTCCTGGTGGTATACCTGGTGTAGATCTCAGTGATCCAAAACAATTAGCTGAGTTTGCAAAGTAAGTAGTGTAAAAATTTGTGTATAAACATGATTATGCAGATATTTCATTGAATATCAGTTTACAAAAATAAATATTCTATATAGTGAATAGGAAATAATATAATTTAGTACAATGGTAAGTTTAATAATAGTTGAAATAATTTTAGCCTTTAGAAATTACCAAGTAAATCTAGAAAATCCAGATAAATTAAAAAAATGTAGCTTTTAACTGCAAAGATCCACTTGAAAATGTTGAAGAAAATTATTTGTAATTAAAATGTGTTAAAATTAAGTTAAATGGACATTAGAGTCAATAATAAAATATTATTTTAAAGGTATCTGTGGTTCTAGTATGAAAAATAAATATAATAATTATAAATGGAGTGTCATATAGTGGAATATAAAACAGCATGTCATCAAATTTGCCATTACAGTTGTAATTTAGAGTAAGAAAACCCAAGTATGTAAAACAGGAGTGTGATGTACAGTCTGCTCTGTCTTAGCGATTGATATTTTTAGTTTAAAAAAATTGGTTATGGTAAATTTTTTAAACAGAAAAATTTATTTTCAACAGCTGTCAAAACCATAAAACCTCAGTTTTAATGGGTCATAGTATTAAACTTTAAATAGTTTGAAATTTATATCCACACTGAGCCATATAATGTGGTAATTAACTACAGATTACTTGCTAGTTAGTGCAAGTTCTTAGTCTTCCTTTTCTTCATTCAACCTTAATCCCCATCTTTTGGATTGGCCACTTGGGTGGCTGGTCCTGACAGCAACTCTAAAGGACAAGCATATTCTGTGACAGGGATTCAACTCTGTGATCAGCAGATTATAAGTCAAGCACCATAATCACCAAGTTGTGCCAGGCCCAGTGCAGATCTTAATGTTTTCTGTTAAATAAAAAAAAGTTGTTATAGAAATTATATTGGCAATTGCTGATATAATGGTAAGTCTTAGTACACATCTGTGTGGTCTTTAACTTAACAGAAAGTAAAATACAAAAAGATATAACAGTTATGTAGAATTTAAAATGTTTTTGCATTAACCTCTTCCCTTTTCACAGTCTTTGCATGACCTCAGATCTAAAATAGTTCATACTTCATAGTTTATTTATTTCTGTTTCTCTATATATATAATTTAAAATGTTGTTATAAGCATCTCAGATGGTGCTAATTTTAAAGTATGCTTTTCTAAACACAGTTTCAATTTGATTAGCTGTATTTGCTTATACGATGAAAAATACAAATCATGATTTTTTTTTTCAATTAACGTTGTTTAGTGCCAAAACAGTAACATTGCAACTTGTGTTCCCAACTGGAAACTTGAGTCGGTAGAATTTTCTGTTAATCTGCACACTAAAATACTACAGTGCAAATACTACATTTCTAAGCATCATTCCAAAAAATGAATGACTAAAATACAGATTCGTGGATTCTAAAGTTGACTATTTCATTCAACCAGTGACGTGCTATGTTAGTGTTTATGCATTTAAGGTTGTGTGTTTTTGTATTTTTAAATGTTTTGTACTTTGTAAAACTTATCATTATGCTCTGGTTTACATAAGAGATTTTGTAATACAATATATGACAATGGTATTACTTTTATCTAGAATGAAACCACGAAAACAGACTGATGATGTCGCCCGAACAATTGCTTGTCCTCATAAGGTATTCAGGTTTAAGTATTAATGGGTCAAATCTAGAAGTTAGTGTGCATTCAGATTTAAGTGTTGATGGGTCAAATCTAGAAGTTTATGTGCAGTCAGATTTTAATTGTGTTAATGGGTCAAATCTAGAAGTTTGTGTGCTGCTTCATATAAATCTCATTGCATTATAAAATAATTCATTTGATGAAAACTTGTATCTTGTGGTATACTGTTTTTGGTGATTATAATAAATGAGTTGGCAGTTTCTTTCAGTTATATTTTATTAATTCTAAACTTGTTTTATATTTGTACTGTAGAAATCATTTTATTAGTGAAATAGCATTTATCACTGTGTTTACCAAAAATATGGGTAATATATATCTGTTCGTTTTTATGATTTGGGCTATAAAATGTATGGTTTTGGCCATCTTTATATGATTTTACAATGAGTTGTATGTTTCTCATGGTTTTTCAAAATATTATTGAAAACTGTAAACTGAATCATGATCAATTTCATTAATATTTTGACCATGGAACCTTTTAGTTTTGTGTTAACAATTCCTAACTTGTAGTTGCTGTTTATAATAAATTGCAAATAATGATAAACATACTGTTTTGTAAATTTTTTTTCATCTCAAATGTGATTTGTTTGCATTTACTCTACGTTTAGGAATAAGGTAGGATACTGTACAGGTACAATGCACCCAAATATTATTGCTAAACTGATATGTTTTCATTTGCTCTAGACTAAGGAACAAGATATGATATAGTATTGGTACAAGGTACTCATATCTCTTAGCTAAAAACATGTGAAGCCAATATTGCATTTCCAATTGTAGCTGAAACCTAAAGATTTCAGTGTTGAAATTGTATCACGTTTTTGAAATCATAGTTGAAATCTCAATAATGAGTGGAGTTTGGAATGTGAACATGGTATTAGAAGGAGCTGTTCAGTGATAAACTATCTTTTTCTGTATAGCCAAAAGCATGAAACTCGGAGAATATCCAGGAAATCATATCATAGATAAATGAGGATTTTCTGTATTTTGTTGCATCTACTGTGTGTAAAAGAAACTTGGATTAATTTTAAGTTATTTATTTGACCCGCATGATTGATGGTATAGTACAAGTTAGTATGCATAAAGCTTGTGAAAATTGGAACTCAATACAGCTAACATCCTTGATAAAAATCACACTAGACTACAGTTGTTCCCTCATGTTCCTTGTACTTTGTCCATTATAGATTTCTAATCACAAGTATATAAAAATATAATTTTTAGAACTACGTTTCCTCTAAGTCACTGTCCAAGATGTGTTTTATTCAATTCTAGAACTCGTGAGCTATACAATGAAATGCCTTCTATACAATGACATATAGTAAACAATTGATCTGAAATACTATTTTTACATGACTCTTATCTGAAATCCATAATAGACAAATTGAAAGAATTGTAAAAAAATCTTGAGTTAACATTAATTCTATCTTGGATGTAAGGCCTTTTGAGAATCATTTCTGTTTCATTGTCTGCAGTGTCATCTTATGGATAAAGTAACATCCAGCTCTTTATTGCTTCCTTCATTTTTTCACATGGAATATATGCAATTGCATAATGGCTCTATTGGCAACGTACAATTTTCAGTACTTGTACCTTTAACAAGTACTTACAGTGTTGTTGTTATGTTTAACTGTAATACATTTGTAACTAATCAAGAAAAAAAAAAATCTAGTTCGCTTAGATCTACACAGTTAAAAGAAGTATGGAATTGTGTAACAATTGGATGAAAGTCCAAGATGATCAATAAAATACATCCTACATCACTCTTCATATAAAAATATTACTTAATCCATATACTAAAAGGTGTAACTGATATAAAACAAAAACCTTGGTTGATCAGATTAAAGTCTTAAATTATGTTTATTTTATTGTACATATTGCTCCCATATTTACCTTTCCAAGTTTTATGTATACAATGTAGGAACTTAATTTTGACTTTTATATGGGTCTTAAGATTATATACAGTGAAGTGATGGAGTTTCATAACAAATACAGTATCTACTAGTACTGATGAAGTGTGATTGTATAAGTTTTCAAAATAGATTTAGGAAAAGAAAATAATTCCTATATAAAAGAAAGTGTCTCATGATATTTCATGTTGTCTATTCATGTGAGAAGTAATTCACTTATTTAAAATGTGCTTGCTGTACAATATATTTATAGTACAATTTCTTCCCTTAGGGTTGCACCAAAATGTTTCGTGATAATTCTGCAATGCGAAAACATCTTCACACTCATGGACCAAGAGTTCACGTATGTGCTGAGTGTGGAAAGGCTTTTGTGGAGAGCTCAAAGCTCAAGAGGCATCAGCTTGTTCACACTGGTGAGAAACCCTTTCAGGTGGGTTTATGATGAGAAAGTTTATAGTTTTTTTTTAGCTTGAGATTCTATATCTTGTTAATCATGCCTCAAAATCTAGAAATAGTTGAGGGTTTTGTGTGTATTGGATTTTAGTAGTTTATGGTCGCGGTTACCTAACCTTTCCTTGTCAGAATATTATTCAATCCTTTATTTTATTGCTGGAACAAAAACATTTACAAAAGATTTGTATAGTAAACTTTTAACCTGCTGTTAATATTATAAAACCTAAGGGAATTATTTTTAACATTTTGGGTGAAGCTTTTCATGCATGGTTATATGTTAAGTTTCTACCAGTGCTGGTTACTCAACCAATCATAATGAACCATTCATTCATAAAGTATGATAACATCATGGTTTGATTGTGTGGGCTTATGTGCATGTTGATTATAGGCATATATACAGAAACTTACCTTAAAATAAGATTGAACTGTTAAAAACTGAGATGTTTCATCTTAGCTCTTTCAGCACGGGCTTATAGTTTTTATGCTATAACTGTTAAATTAGAAAGGGAATGTTAATGAAATTTGGCAGATTATCAGTAAACATTACAATGCTTTCATACGCAAAATATAAATTTTTTTTATTAAGTCTTAAGGTTTCTAAAGTAATGTTTTTCTAATGCCTTTTTTTTCTTTTCGTATGTTGCCTATCTATTATGCAAAGTAGTTTTCCTTTTAAGATTAAAAATACTTTTATGTATCAGATGTGAAATCTATATAATGTCCAGATTTATATTTTATCTGTTATTTTCAGTAATTTATCTCTGTATGGGTTCAGTAGATTCGACCGATCTCGAAACCACTGTAGAATGAACACAAGTTATAACACGAAAAAATAAATGTTTAGACTAAATAGCTTAAATCTCATAACATTATACATT